GGGAATGTCAAAGATAAAGGTACAAAGAATGAAGGGATGGACAAAGGGTAAGAGACCATAGAATGAACAGAGAATGAAGGAGTGGTCAAAGGAATGGAATGATGAAGTAAGGAAGGGTAGTGGTAAGAGTCAGCATGCATATAGTCTATAGACAGTACCCCTGAGGGACAGAAGTCCTGAGTTCTGGTACAGAAGGGTGTGGAACCCTTGGAACTGAAGGTAAGAGAGCAGAGGATTGTAACAGTATTTCAGTTTTCACAAGACAAAAAAAAGAGATAATTAAAAACTAATTTGATAAATATATTCTACTATTAAAAACATAAATTTAGCAACTTATTTAAAGTAATTCTATCAAGATTTGAGTTATAGTACTTTTTCTGTATTTTGCAACTTTGTGGAAAAAAATCACATGAACTATGCTACAGCCAATATTTTTGCAAACAGCTGTAATAGGGCAATTACTTATAATTTGTTTACTGCCAATAAAGTTTATGAGCTCATCCTGGTTCATAGAAAGAGCTGACACAGTCCTGAAATACCTACAGTATTGATCATTACTAATGAGCACATTAAGGAGTATATATTAACCAATCATCAAGTTTGCAATATACCAGACTCAGGTGGGTAATATCCAAGGGAGACATAGAAAAGTTGTCATTAATCAGGCAATCACTATAAATAATAGGACAGGAGATTTTACACTGTTGTTTGAATGTCAATCCTAATAACAGGTTGTCTACAAAGGAGATTCTAGAGAAGAGGGTCAGACTTCAAACAGTAAGTATGTATAATAATGATACCTATTTATTTTTTCCATTCAGTGGTTTGAGAACTCTGACAATACATCTTAGAGCAACAATACAATAGATAAATGGAAAAGGGGCTTGATGCATGCTTATTCAGAAGCCCAAAAACAATTAAATATGAAGCAGTCTGAGAAGAACAGTGGTGACAATACAACAAATTCTAGAACATCCAAAACAAGCAAGAGGGAAGGAAGGGGAAATGAATAGAGATAGTAGTAAATTTATGTTCAAATCAAGAAATTCCAGTAGCTCTTCTAGTTCCATAAATGATCATACTATGTAATGGCCTACTGTCCTGGAATTACCTACACACAGTTACCACCTCATAAAGTATACTGTCTATATTGTTATAACACAAAGCTGTGCTACCTAACTCTTATAAGGTAGAGGACACTATAGAATCTGAGTAGAATGTGGTATTGAACTAGTATGTATTACCCAGAAAACAATATAGAATCTAAGAATTAATTAGAAAGACTTTGCACAAAATAAAGGACAAAATTATTTACCTCTGAGTCAGTACAATGTGGTATTGAGCTGTGGTGGAACAAACACAACAAAGGCTATATGTGCAACTACCAAAATGAGATGACCAATCTGAAACCGTCTGCTATACATTCAAGGTCCAAGGAAGAATATAAGATGAGTAATATATCATTGTTGCATGTTTAGCATACAGCTCAACTAACTAATTGTGTATTAAGCACGTGTAATTTCAAATAGGTCTCAAAGACCTACAACATCTATCCCAGGAGTCAGGCTGGGACAAAATCAATGAACCCAGGCATGAAGGTTATAAAGAGGGGAGTAACACACAGCAGACATTGATGACTACAGACTCGGAATGCAAAGGCAAGTAATCTTACACTTTCTTACTCCCTTCACATTGAGGAAGTGCCATGAAAACCTTTGTGGATAATCCAGCCAAAAAAATGGGTATAGACATAAATTTCTGTATTGTTTAATACTGTATTCACTATGGAAAAGGCCTACTTTATTATATATCACTACTTTGGTTCTTAAACAGCATAGTTGTTTTATTAATAGAAAATTCTTAAGATTCAAGTCACTTCTATTACAATAATGCTGCATTTGTATTTCCTCATTTCCATAAAGTCCTTTGTCAGTAGACATGCTGTTTAGCATCGAGGTAATAATTACCCATATGATGTTGCAAATGCGGTTCCTTCGAACCACTACTAACTGTTTCAACCCCTAATGCAAAGATTTGAGAGTGAATTCAACCTGCTCGTTGAACGCTTCTTCTGAAAACGCGACATGTTTCGGTTTCCAGCCTACTGTTTCTGCACAGACACCTCGAGTATTGACGTTCGATGCTAGAATTCTAAAGGAATAACAAAATAAGTTGAAGCATACACACGCAAAAGCCATTAAATTGTTTATCATCCGCACCGATTGAGCAGGTTCAGTCCTTCAGGCGAAATCGTAGCAGGTTTAGATGAGTCAACAAGACCTTGCTTGTTCAATTCACGAGCAAAGCGTTCTGCGATGCCTTTCCACTCAATGAGTGTAGTACTCGCTATGTAATAGCGCTCGTAAGGATTAGTTGAAGGTCTGGTCGACAGAGCATCGAGAGCAAGCTCGAAAACTTTGTCGAACAAAGAGACGACATCCACAAGATGAACCTAAAATATGACGCGTCAGTTTTAAAAAAAGCATCTTGCTCAAGTAGTGCACCAGGAGACTTACCCATTCGGATCGGTTGCTTCCTTCGCCGATGTAATAAACACGTTTCTGCTTCAAGTAGTCGGCAATAGCTAGTCGAAATATAATCGAATTGCGCTCGATTGGGCCAGTGGATTTGCCATAAACACCAGACGGGCAGATAATGAATGAGTTCACAACTCCTGCTTCAGAAGCTTTCAATAATCTAGAATAAAGAGCAAATGAATTTGAAGGAAATTATAATACTGATTTGCAAGGCTACTACGAACGGTATGTCAACTTGACCATGGATCATTGAAATTGAGAGCGCGAATGTCTTCCTCTGAGTCCTAGTTCAACGAGGATGCATTAGATTAGGATAATTGGTAGCAAACTGAAATAATCTCACAGTCCAAACTTTGCCAGTTGTATTGAATTTCCCGTCTCCAGAATTATCCGTGAAGATTAAAATCCCGCTTGTGTGAATCAACGAACCAATAGTCTTTCCTTGTGCTTTCCTGACCCTTTGGCCCTTGAGAAGTGCATTCAACAGATCGACGCTGTCGCAATCGGCAACATTGATGACGATATCAGCCTCCGCGCTGAGTTTTGTTACAAGCTCGTGATCATTGAGAGATCCAATAACCGGTTCGACTCCGATTGCACGGAACTTATCAGCAACAGAAAGCGAACGAGAGACAGGAGTCGTCTCTGAATGCCTTGTAAGTTGAGCAATATTGTCTGGGATGCCGGTCGTGGACATCCTAATGACAGTGTTAAACTTCACATCAGGATAGCAAGGACAGAGCCTAAATTACTAGAAATTAGCAATAAACTCGTTCGGTTTGCACAACAGACGACTAGAACATACCCCCGATGTAGCCCGTTGCTCCAGGAACAAGTACATTAGTAGCCATAGTGGATAAGTAGGGGTCGATGACTGAGTGCTTGAATCTCATCCCACCCGTTTTTATCTACTTTCGAATCAACTTGGTGCATTACTCATCATTCGCTTGAAATCCTTACTCAGCAAACTCTGATGACGATATGGATTTATGCAAAGCTGATGATTAGAGCCCATATATTCTACATATAGACATTAGTACCTATAGGAATGCAGCTACGGATTATGCACATAAGAAGAAGAGCGACGGACAGGTGGTGCATAAATTCCATACATGGATATTATTCCTCCTGATCGTAGGTATAGCAGTACTTATCATTTCAATGATTTCAAAGTTAACTCAACCTGCTCGCCAAATGCCTCCTCCGAAAACGAGATATGTTTCGGTTTCCAGCCCAATGCTTCTGCACGGAGACCTCGAGTATTAACATTTGACGCTAGGATACTGAAAGAAACGGTGGAATAAGTTGAAGCGAACACCAGTCAATTTGTGCTTCATTCTCTCACTGATTGAGCGGATCTAAGGCTTCAGACGAAATCGCAGATGGTTTAGACGATTCGATAACACCCTGCTTGTTCAATTCACGGGCAAAACGCTCTGCAGCGTCTTTCCACGGAGTGGCAGTAGTACTCGCTATGTAATAGTGTTCGTAAGGACTGGTCGTAGGCGGAGTTGATAATGCATCGAGAGCAAGCTTGAAGACTTTGTCGAACAAAGAAACGACATCTTCAAGATGAACCTAAAATGCAACTCGTTAGAACAACTAGTACATGGAGTGAACCAATAGACTTGCCCATTCGTGTCGGTTACTTCCTTCCCCAACGTAATAAACACGTTTCTGCTTCAGATAGTCGGGAATAAGCAATCGGAACAGAACTGTGTTGCGCTCGATAGGGCCCATGCATTTTCCGTAGACTTCAGATGGGCAGATGATGAATGAGTTCACGACTCCAGCCTCCGAAGCTTTTAGTAATCTAGAATGAAGAACAAATTAATTCGAAGGGTGTGCGCATGTTGACGTTTGAAGAAAACCACGAACGGAACGTCAACTTGACCATGAAGCATTGAAGTCGTAATGGCGCGAATATCTTCTTCGGAATCCTAGATTGGCACAAACACATTAGACTAAGATAAGCACATAGTAGACAAAAAAAGTGATCCTACAGTCCAGACTTTGCCATTGGAATTAAACTTCCCCTCTCCAGAATTATCCGAAAAGATCTTAATCCCGCTCGTGTGAACAAACGAACCGATAGGCTTTCCGTGTGCTTTCCTGCACTTTTGGCCTTCAAGAAGTGCATGCAATAGATCGACGTTGTCGCAATCAGCAGTATTGATAACGATATCAGCCTCTGCGCTGAGTTTCGTAACTAGCTCATAGTCATCGAGAGATCCGATAATTGGTTCGACACCAAGTGCACGGAACTTGTCGGCAATGGAAGACGAACGGGTAGTAGCAATTGAGCCCAAGTCGATATTTTTCTGCTTCGCAAGTGATATAGCAAGGTCCGTGACGCCGGTTGTGGACATCCGAATAACAGTGCTGAACTTTACATCGGGATATGCCTTGACAAGGGAAGCGAGGACAGAGCCTAAATTAAGACAGCACATCTCAATCAAATCGTTTTGTAGGCACGTTATGATGAACAGTACACACCTCCAATGTAGCCTGTTGCTCCGAGCACAAGTACTTTAGTGGTCATCGCAGGTAAGTGGTCGACGACTGAGTATTGGAGTTTCTCCCGCCTTTATACAGTTCGTTCACGAACCTTAAATTAATCGATTACTCATCATTTGAAATCCTTACGATGACAACATGGGATTTATGCAAAGCTGATTTATAGAGCTTACAAACTCTACGTATACATGACAGAGTCCATAGCAGCACGGCTACTACAAAGTAAGCAGATTAGACAACGCACAACGATAAACTGCACGCTTACTTTTAAGATAGATAGCATACTTGTTCCTTAACAGTGGGTGACAATAAGAATATCCGGTGGACGTTGTTCCACAAACATTCCGAGTTCTGGAGATCCAGCCATAGATAAAGGGAAGTATTAACTATATGCCCTATAAGCCATCCCAGGGTAAACGCCCTCCAAATATCCCTCTGGTTCTCACTCGTCTCCCACCACTGTCTCCATCTTCTATAACTTTGTCTGTGTCGGCATTTGGACACCACTCCAGCAGCTCTGACATCTCTGGTACTCCAACATGATACGGATGCACCTTGTTATGTACGTTCTGTGCATGTTGTTTGGCTAGGAGAGAGCCATGGCACCTGTAAAGGTCCAGTGTATAGGGTAAGTATCTGTGTGTTTGCTTTTCCAGTGTAGGGTCATGTAAGGATTTGATTTACTGGTTCGTATTTTATTACTACTACATTGCTGATTGTGTCAGATCATTGTACAGTGGGACCCACAAGCACATATATTCTCATTGTAGTTAGTTACACTTCCTCCTCATGTATCTACACGTGTATACCCCTATAAAAGACAGTATTGACTGCTGGGTAAAGGGGATTCTTTTCCCCTGACCCCTTGCTCAAGTACTAGGTTATCCCAGTCAGTAGTTGAGTGAACTAAGGGTGATTAGAATTCTCTTGTGAGGAACAGTGAGTTTCCTTACATATTTTTGACTGTACCCACCTAGCACTGAAACCTCTTGCTGGACACTGAGGAACTGAAGGGTCTGATCAACCCTAGGTCTCCCTTGTTGTCTAGTACCCATCAAGAATTTTTAGTGAGTAAAGTTACGATTTTCGAGTAGAAACAGAGACTACTTACTGGATTGGCCCCTAGTAGGTTCACAATGCTTCAGAACACTACAGAATGCTTCTAGAACACATTAACACATATTAATATGGACTAGTGCTGGATATACTGGAGGTTTGCATTGATCGGATGGGTTGAGGACCAGGCATCTGTGACAGTGAAAAGGAACAAACAGGTGCACATCAAGTTTACAGACAATGGACAACAAGATTACCCATTAGTTATTGATTACAATGTGGCTGCTGAGTCTTGACTGACGATTCCCAGAGGGTACCCAAGTCTGGATATCAATACTAACATGCTAGGAAGTAAGTCCTTGTCCCTTGTGGGCTGGAGGCAACCTAATGAACTTATCCCAGGTGATAAGTCCTTGTCTACACAAGGCTGGAGGCACCCTGATGAACTAGTACATACCAATAACATAGAACTAAGGCATGTAACTGTACTAGCACATATAGTTAGTCAAATGTGTACTGTAGAGCAGAAACCAGTGAGTACTCACACTACTGGGCTTGCAGGAATAGTAAATAGTAGTACAAAGAGTGGAAACACTCAGGTGATTAGATTCGAGTATTTGTCCAATCGAGTACAGAAGGTTGAGTTTGAGGATTCAACTTACTGAGTACAGGCAATTAAGCTTGAGGATTTGCTCAATCAATTTCAGGCTACCAAGTTTGAGGATTCACTTGATAGAGGACAGGCAATTTGGTTTGAGGATTCACCAAGTCAATATAGAGAGCTAACAGCAAGCATTGAGGAATTTGCAAGCTAGTACAAGAGTTACAGAGTGTATATAGTCAGTGTTAGTGAGAGTGTGGATAAGTATCTAGTGAGCACACTTACTTCAGAATGGAAACACATTAACAACAGTGATGTAGAGGGTAATAAGACATCTAAGACCCTTTTAGGCAGTAAAGAAAGCAGCTAGGACTCAAAGGACAAGAGTAACAGACAAGGCTAGGAGAGCCAGGCATCAGAATTACAGAGATCTGATAAGGAACAAGATTTCCAGAAGGCAAGTAAGACCTTCAGACACATTGCAAGAGCCAGAGCAATTAAGATAGACATAGGACATGTTAGCCCATTCCACAGTTCAATAGACATTGAAGATTTGAATAAGAGAATGTACAAGTTTGAAGGAATGTATCAGGAAGAGGAGAAAGCAACTCCTTCATCAAACAAGAGTAGACTCAATAGTATAGTAACAGAAAAGTATGAAACGCTTCAGGCAGGCTACAGAACAAAAGCCAGACATGCTATAGTACTCACAGACAGTAGAGATCATAACTATTGATCTAAGAGTGTAGAAGAAACACTCAAGAGTCCAGACAAACGATTGCATTTACAGAAAGCAAAAGGAAAGTGTAAAGTAAAAGGAATACACAAAGTACAAGGAACAGAACGAAAACTGGAACTGTTAAGCATTCAATATGATTGTGAAATTGATTCAGACTATCCAAGCAAAACAGACATTACATTGACAGAACAGTACTTTGAGGATAGCAAAAGTGAGTACATATTGGAACTACAAGGATCAGTACTTGATCCAGAGGGCAAAAATCAAGCATACACCCACAAAATCAAGTGTTTAACCTTATACATGGCAGATATCAACTATGCATTACACAGGAGCAATGTACAGGAGTACTACAATGGATACAACACCCTAGCCAGGTCTAGGAATAAGAAAGAAAGCAAAATACCTGGATATATACAGTCTCAAATGGAAACATCAAGTTTTTCAGGACATCAGAGTATCCCTTACAAAAATAAAAGGAACAAACAATCCTATAGCAATACTTCACAATTGAAAGCAGTCTCAGGTAAGGCATACACTAGTAGTATTAGTGAGAACAATATTAATTCAGAGTGTAGCAAACTACACAGTTCAAAGCCACATATCAAGCACAGCAAGCATAAGAATAGCTCAAGCAGTAGTTCAAGAACAAACAATAGACACAGGCATACAGTGTAGAAAGGATTCTACAAGACTACAGATACACATGGTACATGGAAAGGACTAGGAAACACACATACAACCATTGTTTCAAGGAATCTAAGACACTACAGGTGTAAGGCAACACATACATGAACACTTCAGAGCTACTATTACCAATTCTTAGAGCCACAAATCAAAACAACACTCTTAAGAAATACAGGTTGTTCACAGACAACAGGAATGCATACTAGGACATTAGGAAAGGACCTGAGAATGTTAGAAGATCAGAATATAACTAGCCAGATAGTATTATGGTTTACAAGGTAATACAAATAGTAAACTGTACAAGCAGGACAATCTATCAAGCATTACTAGACTATAAAATATGACTACTCTTGGTTACTGAGAAATATTTCAATCTAAACGATTCACACAGGTATTCTATTAAGTTAGAAGGCTACATCATGTATCAGAAGACAGACATTAGCACATTGAGCAAGGTAAAGTGCATATACATCAGGAATAAGATGATACCACTTCAGAATAAGTATCAGGCATGGAGATACATTAACAGCAATAGAAAGACACAGACATACACATACACAGTCGATTCTATTCAGTACAGGAAGGTATTCAAAAGTAAAGAACTGCTTCAGACAATTTCAGGATCAGGAGAATGTTCAGACATTCAGGTATATCAACTCTACAACAGTAGAACAGACATTTCCATCTTCAGGATTGAAGAAACAGTCAGTAATGAGTACAATCAAAGGAATTTGTATAGAACAACGTTCTATAAGGTACAATTGGATGTTACACTATGAAACTATTCAGTTCATGATGAAGAATTGTTCAGAAACATTGAGACCAGCTCAGACTACAAGGATATATTGTACAGAACACAGTTTCAGGAGAACATAAGGTATTACATTATGAAATACACTTTCAGACAGTTAGGATTCATTGGAATAGACTCAGGATACTTTATTAGACATAGAATGGACATCACAAGCACTCAAACAGATGTGCTAGCATGTATATACTCAGGATACATAGTAAGGATCATGTTATTCAAGCTACAGGATGACAATTACAATCTATAGGATGTAAAACAGTTACAATCTATGTAACATAAGGATAGTAAGACACTACTGAGATCAGGAACAGATATGTATTGTATGGAACAAAGTACAGAAGTTCAGAGGGTGACTTCAAGCCAGAGAACAGGTTTGGAACTCAGACAATCTGCTCAATCTGCTCAATCTGCTCAAATAGATTATCACACCACTTTAAGGGAAAGTAAAGGCAATACACATACAGTCAGCAGAGATCAGAGCAATAGTGAATTAGCAATGATTGAACAGACTATTCAAGCATTCAGGAATGATACTTTAATGCTACAGAAGGAAATAGAGCATTAGGAAGCTCTAGGACATTTATTAAACAATGATACAGTTCAATCTACTCTAGGAATGAGTAGCTACAATCAGTTTGAAGTACAAAATCACACAGAAGACCTCTCCAGACACTACAGATATGTTCTAGAACAGTACCAGACGTTTTACACTGAAAATAAAGTCATATTTCGACAAGAGGGCAAGAGGCACACACATTACATTGTATACACACTCTTTGAGCATACAATCATGTTTGAACACACATTTATCTTACATGGATTGCTACAGAACAATTTTGCAAAGGACTTTATAGTACCAGACAGTATCAGTACTACAGGAAACAGGACACACAATAGGTACATAAGGAAAGAATACATTGGCACAAGGACAAGGACACAGAAAGACAGGAAGTCAGCA